TGAAAATATTTCAGGCTGTGACGACCCCCCCTCCCTTTCTCATGCCACCCTCACTTCTGCGCTGCTGCTGGCGGTGGCGCTGCCTTCAGAGCTGGGTGCCCGGCCAGCAGCCGCCATTCTCGCAACCCCCCCTACCAGGGCAGCTCTATGTTTTTTGCTGCCCCAGCCCAGCAGTCAGGCGGCCTTCGGTGGCCTGCCTGCAGGCGGTCCGCTGGTCACGGGGATTCGGCAGCGTTTCTGCAGGTGAGCTGCCAGTCCCGTGCCTTCGGTGTAGCCACCGCCGAATTGCCGCCAAAGCCGCGGGACCGGCGGGCCTCCCGCAGGCATGCCGCCGAAGGCTGCCTGACTGCCGCCCTCACAGCGACCCCCACCCCCGACTTGCCGCCCCAGGCACACGCTTGCTGCGCTGGTGCCTGGAGCCGCCCCTGCCCCATACAATAGTCTTGTGACACCCTTTGGGTCAGGCCCCCCAGTTTGAGAAACGCTGCACTCGCTGCATGAAGGACAAGGCCAGAGCGGAGCCCTGGGGTCCCCTAGGCCAGAGCCACCCCCGGGCTTTCCCCTTCCTCGCCTCCAGTCCTGTGTGCACCAGAGCAGAGCCCTGGGAACAACCTGCCAGGGATGGAAATCCCCCAGCCCCATGTATGGTGCCTGGTCCAGTGGTTATGGTCTGGCAGCTTAGGTCTAGTCTGAATTTGGCTGGTTTCCACTTCCAGCCGTCGGAGCTCTCGGTGATCCCGTTTGTCCCCCCAGGCCGGGCCTTCCCTCTCATACGCTAACCAGGGTGACCCCTGGAGCCCGGCCGGATCGGACCCCTATTCTAACGCTTTACCAGGCTGGGGGCTCCGCTCTGCCCCCTCGCCAGCTCATCAGTGGGGAGGTAAAATCACCTCCCTACGCTGACCCCAGCCACCCTGGGCCTGCATCAAGGACCCCACTAGACCTCTCTCTCCCCTCCCCATGCTGGAACGAGAGCCCAGGCAGCCTGACTTCGGGGCCCCCACCCCCCGCCTAGTCAAACCTTCCCCTTATCTCAGGAAGCGAATCATTTCGAGATCTCACCAAAGGGGGCCTGTCTTGGGGCCTCCCCTAAGATCAGTGGGGGCGGCTCCCAGTTGGGCTGCTGGGGGGAGGGGAAGGGCATAGCCGGTCCTAACCGCTGCGCTTGGTGGGGTCCCTTCAGAGGCAGCTCGGGCACTTTTCCAAAGCCCCAGCCGGGCTTGGCAAGGAGCCTCAGTCTGCTAAAGCCAGCCCGGTCCACAGTCCCCATCGTACGGCCCGGTAGCCCCCAGCCCTCGGCAGCACAGCCAGGGAGGCCCCAGATGGATCTGTCCTCCCTGAGCTCTCCCCCCCCCCCACCTCCTCGTTGAGCTGTCCAGGTGCACTCACCTCACAGCCCTGGGACCCCCCCCGCCGGGCCCAGTCTGCCCAGCTCCTGGCCATGCAGGCCCCCCCGCAGCATTCTGCCAGGTGAGCAGAAAACATCCCCAGCAATGCAGCCTCAGCTCCCCATGGCAGGGTCAGGCCGTGGTCCCTGCCCCAGGGGCACAGGCCCTGGCACCCCACTCTCCTGGGGGCTGCATCCCAGATCCAAGGCCTCCCCCTGCCCCCGTGCTGACAGGCGTCACACCTCTCTCCGACTCCCCAGAGCCCCCTGGAGTCCTGGTGCAAGGGCCAGAGCCGCTGCGAGTACCCCCCGCTCTAAGCAGCGCCCGCCCCAGCCTGGTTACGCTGCACTTCCAGCAGCGCCTCCCCAGGCTGGGTCTAGTCACATAGCCAGGCCAATGCCACAGCCCCTGTGGCAATAAAAGGTAAGTGGATCCATGCGGCCAGGCAGCACAAGAGAAACTTTGTTCCGTGTTTGGGGGGGCGGTGCCGGCGCTGAATGGTTCTGGCGCACACAGTGCAAGGGACAGCAGCCTTTGTGCTGGCGCGGGGGAGAAGCTGGGACTCAGGCCCTAAGGCCAGCGCCCTGGGACGGAGCCTGGCACAGAGCCACGGGACATACTACCACCGGCCCCCACCCCCTTGGCGCAGCCCTGCCCATCGAGTGCCGCCTGGCAGCACGGACCAGCAGCGACCGCACCAGGCTAAGCTGGGGGCGAGATCCCGGAGCCATGCTCCGGGGCTGGTCCTGGCTGCACAACGTTGTGGGGGATGGGAACTGCCGGGGGGGGGGAGGGGAGTGATGCCAACACACCCCAGCAGCGCCCCCAGGGGGCATCCATAGCTCTTACCTATGGGGGCCACCCCCCTGCAGGGCGCTGGGGGAACAGGGATGGGCGAGCTTGAGGGGGGATGGAGAGTCTGCCCCCAAGGGGAAGGTACCCAGAGGCAGAGGGGGCCCCCCCATGCCTGCCACCAAGGGGGAAGAGTTCCCCCTTAGGAATAGAGACACCCCCACCCCACCCCCGGGGATCCCCGAACTCGCCACTCCCAGGCTGCCTGGCTCTGTGCCCGGCTGGAGCTTGAGCCGCCGCGCCACCTAGTGGAGCATCGGGGTAACCACCGGGGGAATTTCGGGGTCTTGGCTCCAGCAAGCAGTAGGGCCCAACCCCAGCCCCCCAGGCAGGTCAATGGTTCCCCCCGCTGCCCTCCCCCCACGGGAGGAGGCAATAGAATTTGTCCTGGGCCTGGCCCTTCCCGCTGCGCCCAACGCCCAATGCGGGGGAGGGGGCGCTACACACTAACCCTGCACACGGCCCCGCGCCAAGGTACCCAGCCTGGCACCCAGGGAGGTGCCAGACTCGCTCCAGCTCTGGGAAGAGGTGAGTGGGCAGGAACCCTGGGTTTATGCCCAGCTGTGGGAGGGTCAATGGCAACCGTGGAGTGGGGTTGGCAGCCCCTCGAGCCACCCACCTCTGAGCCACTGGTGCCTGGGCCACACACACGCCCCAGCCAGAACAAAGCACGTCCGGCTCCCCTCCCGTGCCATGCTGGGCGGGGGCACAGAACCTCCTCTCCCCCTGGCAACCCAACCCCCTCCTGGAGACCCCCAGCAGAGCATGCACGGGGGAGGCTGGGAGCCAGGACTCCTGGGTTCTGGCCCTGGGAGCGGATCATACCTGGGCTTTGCTCCCTGCTGGGCCCTGGCGGCGGGGTAGTTCTCCAGGGTGGGGATGGGATCGTGAGGCCCTGGACTGCGGTCCTGGCCTGGCCCTTCAAAGCTGCTGCCCTGCAGCGCCCCAAGGCTGAGGGGATCCCCCCTGAAGCCTCCATTAGGCCACATGGAGAAGGGATCTGAGCCCCCTGGAGGGCTCCTGGCGTCACGAGAGCGCCACATGCCCCCCGAGGGAGAGCCGGCCCCAGGATGGGCAGAGTTCGGGGCACTGTCCAGGTTGTGGCCAGCACTACATGCCACTTCCAGGGGCACAGAGAATTCACGTTGGAGTGGAAGGAGTTAACTCAGGCAGCTCCCAGCCCCTTTATTAGACAGTTTGCAGATGATCTAAAGCGGGTTCAGAAGCAGCCAGCGCCCCAGAGGAAGGGGGAGCCCCACACCAGGGAGTCCCTCCCACCCCAGCCAGGCAGCGTCCCAGTGAATGGCTCTGGTGGTGCCGAATCTCCCAGGACAAGCTCTGGCACGCACCCACTCTCACCCGTGCTCCCTGCCCAGACGCAGCCGCTCCCCTGGGGTGCGCCCAGCCACACCCAGTGTTCGGAACCCCCACCACCCAAGGCCTCTCGAGGCCCAGTTCCCAGGGCAGGGGATTGGCAGGTCCAGCCGAGGGGATGGCGCCCTGGCAGGGTGTGGGCAGGAGAGGGGCTTTGGGCAAATACCCAGGAACAGCGTCCGCAGCAGAGTGTAACAGGCCAAGACTCCTGCAGCCCAAGGCTAGTTCCGATCCGGCTCCGCAGCGTCCCCGAGCTGGCGGGCGGGCGTCTCCGTGCGGGAGGGGGAGGAGCCCAGAGAGAGATCCCAGCGCTCGGGAACTTCCAGAGTCGGGGGCATGGAGGGGCCATGCCAGCGACGGGGGGGACCAGTAACCCCGAGTCCAACAGGCAGCGAGGGAGGGGAGGTTCCAGAGCCCGGGCAGCCCACACGCAGGCAGCAGTAGCCATCTCACGCTAGGTGTACTGGAGATGCCCAGCGGGGGGCGGGGGAGCTGGCCTGGGGGAGAGAGGAAATGTGAAACAGGTAAGTAATGGGGGCAGGGGTCTGCCTTAGCCCACCCCCCAGTGCCAGCGAGCGAGACGCCCCCCGAGCCGTGTCTGCAGCCAGCGCTCACCTGGAGGGCAGCACCATGACGTGGGGGCCGTAGGAGTGCACCGAGGACAGCTCAGGCCCGGAGACGAGGGGCCCGGTGGGATCCGAGGGCAGCAGCCTCCTGGGCAGGGGCAGCTTGGCAGGGCCTGGCGGCTGCGGAGAAACGTCAGGGCGAGTTACTGAGGAGGGCTCATGTCCCGGGGTCCCGCGCAGGGCGAGGGAGCTCACGCAGCACCCACTGCCCCCCCCTGCCAGCTGTGCCCTGCACATCCCTTGGGGGGAGACGAGGTCGATCCCCCCACCCCACACAGGCGGCCTGGCCCTGCTGGGCCCCACAGCCAGACATCCCTCCCCACGCACAGATCCGCGCCACCGTCACCATCACCCCGCGTGGCGCGGTTACCTGAGCGCCTTTCAGCACAGGGTCTGCAGGCAGTGGGCGCGTGGGGGGGGGCGGCCTGTCCCGCAGCAAGGCCTGGGCAGAGAGAGCAGGGGCAATGAAACAGCGACACAGCGCCCCACGCTGGCAGCTGCTGGGGGTCCGCACAGACCCCTGGGGAAGAGGCAGCTCCTGCCTGCCTCAGCCGGGGGGAGATGGGAGCCCAGCACCGGGCTGGGGGCTCCAGGGACAGAGCGGGGCCAGGGCTGCCCCGCGGGGAGCCCAATGCCAATGGGATGGGGCTAAAATCTCCCAGCCCGGGTGCAAATGCCAGGGGGCCTGTGAGGAGCTGCCGGCCCAGTGCACTTCCAGTGGCCAGGCATGAGACCCTGGGCAAGGCGTGCTGGGCCCCTGGGCGAGAGCTTGGGGCAAAGGCCACATGTTGGGCGCTTGCTCCATCCCATGGCTGCACCCAGGACCCCACAGCCCAGCACAGGGGTGCATGGCCCATGGGGCTACACCCTGCCCCCACATCGGGGCTGGGGAAGAGAGACTTACGGGTGACCCTGCGGGGGCCCGTTTCACACTCAGGCCCTGTCCTCACTGCTGCTCTGACCCCATCACCCCCCAGCACACGGGATGGGAGGCCGAACCAAGCCCTGGAGTCCAGCCCCGTGGGGGCAGAGCCCGTGTCAGCCGGGCAGAGCTCAGTGCCCCCGGTGAGTCCATGCAGTGACAGGCATGCAGGGGCCTCAGTGGGGGGTTAGAGCAGCCACTGCCCTGGGCCCCCATCCGCGCCCGGCAGGGCCCAAGGACGTTACCTGGGATTCCTTAGGAAGCGGGTCAGGCGGGAGCGGCTTGGAAGGCGGGTCGGGCCGGGCCCAGCCTTGGGGAATGGGCTGCAGAAAGAAGAGGAGAAAGCGGCAGCGGGGGGCGGGGGGGGGAAGTCAGTGAGACAGGCGGGGGGTGTCAGTGAGACCAGGAGGGGGGTTAAGAGACGGGCCGGGGGACCATGCAGGCAGCGGTCAGTCAGTCGCCATGCAGCATGCGGAGTCAACTCGCAGGACAGAGACGCCTGCCCACGTCCCCCCCGGGCAGAGCAGATTGCCTCCCCCTGCCCCCGCGCAGGCTCCACTCGCAAGGACCCCCCAGGATCCCAAGAGGTCGCAGCCCATGGATGGGAGCCCCCATGCCAGCGTCAGGGGGCCCTGGGTTGAGGCACAGCCCCGTGCCAGGTTGCTCCCCGGGCGGGAGGCCCCTCGCTCCCTAAGGGCCGATCCCCTCCCCTCACACTGGGGCTGGCCCAGGGCTCCACAGAGCAATTGGACCCCCCCACCCCAGAGCCCCTTGCCCAGCGGCATCCACTGCCCACCCCCGACACTGCCAGGGAGGGAGGGGGCATAGTGCCGGGATCAGCACCCCAAGCCTCGTGGCCGGGCCAGGGATGGTCAGCGAGTGAAGTCCTCGGCTGTACCCCAAGCCACAGACAGCACCTCCAGCAGCACAGCAGCCCTATGTGGGGCCAGGGACCAGCACCCCCTGCTGCCCCCCATAACGCTCCCTGCGGCACAGCCCCACCCCCCATCACCACCCTGGGGCCAGCCCTGCCTGCCGGGGGAGAGCGTCTCCTGCCCCACAGCGCCCCCTAGCGCTCCACGGGGCCAGCCCCGACTGCCAGGGGAGAGCGCCCCCAGCGCCCCCCACGGCGCCAGCCCTGCCTGCCGGGGGAGAGCGCCCCCTGCTGAGCCCCCGTAACGCTCCCTGCCCCACAGCGCCTCCTAGCACCCCATGGGGCCAGCCCCGACTGCCAGGGGAGAGCGCCCCCAGCGCCCCCTAGCACCCCACAGGGCCAGCCCCGACTGCCAGGGGAGAGCGCCCCCTGCAGCCCCCCGCGGCACGGCTCCCCATCACCGCCCTGGGGCCAGGGGAGAGTGGAGAGCGCCCCCTGCTGCCCCCTTGGCATAGGGTTGTGACTTGCCTCACCGCGCTGGCGCGAGGGGAAGCTGAAGTGGCACCGCTGTTCCAATCACAGTTCCACACCCGCGCACACACCCATGTGCACACCCATGCACACCCGTTCCCAGCTGCAGCCCTCACGCCCGGCATAGCCCGGCACACGCGGGGGCGACTCGCTGGCTGGAGAGCACTCACCTGAGACACTCGGGCAGCAAGCGAACGTAGGACTCCACCACTCGGTAACTCAACTACTCATTCTGGGGGGGGTTTAAACCTCCCGTTCTCCCCCTGGTGTGTCGGGAGCCCGACTCTCACAAGTGCCCCCTAGTTCCCCAGGACACTGTTCCAGCACGGCCGGGACAGAGCGCCCTACAGAGCCCCCCCCCGCCTTGGAGCGCAGGCCCCCCAGTGCCCCTGGGGCCAGCACAGCCCCCCAGTGCCCCTGGGGCCAGCACAGCCAGGGGGAGAGCCCCCTATGGAGCCCCCCGCCCTGGAGCGCAGCACCCCCAGTGCCCCTGGGGCCAGCACTGACTGGGGATTGTGCCCCCAAGTTGAGCACTTGCCGTCCGCCACGGGGGCCGTCTTGGCAGCTGCAGCAGCTCAGAGCCCATCCCCGGAACATACGTCCCATGGGAACAGGACCCTGTTCCCCCAGCCTAGCCCCAGTCACCCCAGCAACGAGCCAAGGCCTGTGGGGCCCCAGGTGGGGCGGGAAGTGCTGGACTCACCTTACTGATGGGCATCATCTGCAGCTCTGCAGGCAGGGGCCGCGGGCGCCTGGGGTGGGGCTCGGTGGAGCCTCGCTGCTCCAGCTGAGAGATCCTGGGGAGGAAACACGTCTCAGGCGCCCGCAGGGCAGGGTCCCCCCCACTTCACACATCCCCAACCCTCAGGGTTAACCCTTCTGTGGCCAATCCCCTGCCAGGAAACTGCAGGCCAGGGGAGCCATGGGGTGGGGGGGGAAGGCTGCACACACAGGGGTGGTCAGGGGATTGGCAAGGGGGGGTGGGGGTCAGGACTCCTGGGTTCAGCTCCCAGCTGTGGTCCTGACCCCCCCTGGGCGGGGTGGGTCTGGGAGCCGGCGGGGACCAGGTTGCAAGGCCCCAGGCGGCCCCCCAGGCCGGCACTGCCCCCAGGAGTGCCTGGCAATCGTGTCCCCAATTCCCCAGCCGGGGGGCAGGCAGGAGCCCCCCCATAGGACATCAGGGCGGCATCTCACCAGGGCCAGCTGCCCCCAGCATGGCAGGCCCATGGCGACCAGCCACTCCACCGCCTGTGCTGCTGCTGCGGCCACACCCCCTAACCTCCTGGGGAGGCCGATCCCCAGCCCCTGGCCAGCCCCCCCGCCCCAAACTGCCAGGCCCCGCAGAGCTGGGGGTGAGGGACTGGACAGCGCTCAGCGACCAGTCACCAGCAGAGAGTCCCCGTTCGGAGCCTGGAGGACAGGGCTTCCTGCTTTGGGCGGGGGGGGGCTGGGGAGGAAACCCTCCGGGCAAGTGACTCTGAGCCCCCCACTCGGGGGGGGAATTTGGGAATATGGTCAGGGGAATCCGTGACGCTCCCCCATCTATCCACCGGGGCCCATGGACACGGCACTGCCGTGGGGAAGTTCACAATGAGCCCACTGTGCAGCCCCCCCCCCCCCACCCCCCCCAGCGAGTTACCCGTTCGGCTCGGCCGAGACTCCTGCGCTGAGCAATTGCACCTGGGGCCCTGGCTTGGCGCTGCAGGGAGAACAGAGTCAGGGTCGCATCCCGGGCCCAGAACGTATCACAGGACCGAGGGTGGAGGCTCTCCCCAGAGGCAGGGAGCAGAGGCGGTTACTGTGCTGGGGACACACACGGGGGGGTGGGGGGGGGCGTTACCTGTACGGGCAGCTGGTGCCCTTGCCGAGCTGGCAGAGGTGCTGGTGCAGGCCGGCGCGCTTGGCGTAGCAAAGCCCCAGAGCGAGGACCAGGATCACCGTGGCCGGGATCAGGGTGGTGGGGAGCGCGCTGCCCCCTGGCAGGAGAACAGCCCGTTAGTGTCCCTGGCAGCAAAGTCCCTCCCCCCCCACCCGCCTGGCACCGGCACACAAAGCCCCATTCTTCTCACGCCCCACGCAGCTGGGGGGGGCCCTGCATGGGCCGCGCATGCCCAGCTTGTGGGTCTGAGTCCCCGCCCCGCCGGACGCTGGCAGCCTCGTCAGTGTCAGAAACAGTGCGATAAGCCCCGCCCCCATGCCCTGCCCTCCCCCAGCCCCCTCACCTTGCTCCAGGCCCCCGGGGCCGCTGTCCACGCTGCCCCCGGACCCCGGGCTGTTGCAGGCGGGGGCGGCCCAGCCCGCCTCACAGTGGCAGTGCCCGTTGTTGTTGCAGACCTGGGGGGACACACGGAGCCTCCTCACGGACGGGCTCTCAGCGAAGGGACGGCACAGCCCCCCCCTCCCCCCAGATCTGCTGCCCCGCTCACCCCGTGCCCGTGGCATTGGCTCCCACACTCCTGCACTCCCAGCTCGGAGATGTCCCGGCACTGGCCTCTGATGCACACCTGTCCGGAGAGAGAGGGAGTCACGAGAGAGATGGGGGGGCCCTGGCCCAGCATGGGGGGGGCCAGCGACCCCCTTACCACTTGTCTGCTGCACCTGCTCCTCCCCTGTGCCCCGGAGTGTCCCCCCAGCTCACCTTCCCGGGGCCACAGGCCGTGCCCGGCAGCACCATGGCCAGGTCGCTCACATCCTCGCCCAGGGGCAGGGGGGTCCCACGGCAGCCAGGTGCCACCCCATCCTCCAGGGTGCCCTGGGCACTGCCGCCCTGGCACTGCAGCCTCCCGCAGCCAGCATCCCTACACAGGCAGACAGGGGTCAGGAGGATGGATGGGGGGGGACGGGACGGGACAGATGGGTGGTGTGTACAGGGGTCACTCACCACTGGGCACAGGGGATGTAGGTGCCGTTGGGGCGCTGCCCGCAGTGCCCATGCTCATCCCCCCTGGCATTCAGGGAGGCCATGCAGACGTCAGAGACAGGGCCCGAACCTGCATGGGACAGAGAGCCGTGAGCATCTCCAGGGGCCTCGGCACCCCCCCAGCTCCCCAGAGTCCCCCCAGCTCTGCACCTCCCCCACTCAGCTCCACGGCATCCCGCCCTCCCCCCCCCAGCCCCCTGCCCCTTACCTGGGCCCCACAGCTCCTGGCACTGGCCCTGGTAGGTGGTGCAGGCCCCCCCGTAGCAGGAGGCTCGGCCCCCGGCGCAGGGTTGCCCGTCCTGCAGGTACGTGTTGGGAGGGCAGCGTGGGGAGAGCCCGTCGCAGAACTCGGGGAGGTCGCATTCACCACGGGGCTCCCGGCACGTGGAGCCGGCCCCTCGCAGCTGGGGATCAGAAAGAGTCAGAACGGGGGGGTCCCTGGCCTGGCCTCTGGCTCGGGGGGACTTGCTGGGTAGTGCTCCCGGGGTGAAGCAGGAGGCCGGAGCCCCCATGTTCAGGAGGCTGCATGGCCTGCCCTGAGGGACGAGGGGGACCCATGGGGGATCTGGCACATCGAAGGGCCCAAGCTGGGGGCACAGAGCCGTGACCCCCCCCTTGCAGTAAAACCAGCTGTTGTGTGGGACGGTGCCCAAAGCCTGACTAAACCCAACACCTCCCACGCTCCCCGCTGCCCCCGCCAGAGGCTGGCTGGGCATGTCCGTGACCAGTCCGCGCCGGCCGCTCCTTAGCGCCTGCTCCAGGGGCTCCGAGGTGTTGAATAGTTTGCTCCAGGCTCTTGCCAGCCAGCGAGGTCAGGCCGATGAGTCGGTAACGCCCTGGGCCCTACGTTTGCCCGTCTCCGCCCTCCGGGGGCTCTCGACGAGAAACACCAGTGGGTCTGTGATTGCTTCAGGTAGTTCCGGCAGCAGCCCCGCCACTGGACTCCAGCGACCGTAGCCCAGGTATAACCCGTTCCTTCCCCCTCTGTTAATATTCATTGTGCTGCCATTTGGTCGTGTGACGAGGGGGAGCCCAGGGCTGGGCTGGCAGGGGGCTGCGGGTCAGGAGTGAGGGGCACTAGCAGGGCCCTTCCCACTCACCTTGCAGTCCTGGCAGCAGGTATCCCCCGTGGCGCACTCAGCTCCAGGGGCCAGCCGGCAGCTGCTGGCGTTGCAGCAGGGGTCAGTGCACTCCTGTGGGGCAGAGGGGCGGGGTGAGCGCCTGTGACAAAGTGGGGGATTTTCTTGTTTTTTCCGTGGTTTTCCAGTGGTTTGCATGCAGATGGGGGTGTGACTCAGTTTCCCTGAGTGTTACTGGTTTAACGAGGTGAGGGGAGAGGGAGTTCGTTGGGACACAGGACTGGAGAGGGAACTTGGGACCCCGGCCGATGGCCTGGAGGATGGAGACCCCAGTGACTGGTGACCTGACGACCCGCAGGCCCAGCTCAGGAGTCGCAGCTGGTTCTGGCCAGTGGGAGGACAATGGGCTGCGAGGAGAGGACCCTGGTGACCTAACCAGCGGGTTCCAGCCAGAGGGACCAGAGGACAGAAGAGGGGAGAGGAGGCCCAGGCGATCCGGTTTACCTGGAGAGAAGACAATGGACAGAGGGGGGGCTTGGGGCCTGGGATCTCAGATGCCCAGCTGGGAAGCAGGGGGGCTCGAGGCTGGAGAGGGGGAGCAGGCAGAGCCCCCCTGGATGCAGAGAGACTGGGATGTGCTGGGCTGAGGGAGGCCAGGCCTGAGGGTCAGAGAGTTTCCTGTGCTGTGTTCAACTCTCAATAAACCCTCCTGTTTTACGCTGGCTGAGAGTCGCTCCGGGCTAGAGAACAGGGTTGCTTCGTCCCCTTCGGGGGGGTGGAGGCAGGGCCGGCTCCAGGCACCAGCCCAGCAAGCAGGTGCTTGGGGCGGCCAACGGAGAGGGGCGGCACGTCCGGTTCTTTGGCGGCAATTTGGCAGCGGGTCCCTCACTCCCTCTCGGAGCGAAGGACCAGCCGCCGAATTGCCGCCGAAGACTGAAGCAGCGGCGGTAGAGCTGATCGCGATCGCACCTCCTTTTTTTTTTTTTCCCCCCTGCTTGGGGTGGCAAAACCCCTGGAGCCGGCCCTGGGTGGAGGCCCGGGGGGTCCAGAGCGAATGGACTCCCTGGGGGGGGCCCACGGCAGAGACAGACGCGCTAAGGCTCAGAGAGGTGCGGCTCCAGGAGGTGAAAGGGCCTGACCCCGAGGGAGAGTGGACCCCCGAGAAGGGCTGTCGCACTGAAAGGGGCACCCCCCACGGGGCCAAGAGTGGGCACAATCTGTGAGTCCGTGACAGCGGGGCCCTGGGGGAGGAGGGGGGGGAGCAGACATCTCCTCATGCACGCGCCCCTCCCCTCTCTTACCTCCCGGAGGCCGCAGTCGCACGTCTCGTTCTTCTCCACCAGCCAGTTCCCGCAGTGCGGGCGCACGACCAAGCTCTTGGGCTCGGGCACGTTGAAGAGGCACCAGCCCTGGCCCCGGCGCAGGCTCCGCTCCACGTCCTGCCGGCTGCAGCTGCTGAAGCTCAGACCGGGCATCAGCCTGTGGAGGGGAGCCCATGAGTGGGGGGGGCAGGGCCAGGGGACCCCGCTGTTCCCCCATGCCGAGGCACCCCCAGACTCACCCCGTGGGCGGTGCCATGATGCAGCTCCGCTCCTGGTAGGGGCCGAGACAGTCACACTGGCGCCCGGCACCGTCGTGGGTCATGCCCAGGTTGTGGCCCAGCTGGTGAGCCACGGTGGAGGCCACGACCAGGACGCTGACCGAGTGATCCTGCGCAGAGAGGCTGGATCAGAGCGGGCGGGGGTGGGGGTGGGGCTGGGGGAGGGGAGGTACTCACCACGCTGACCCCGCCCGATCGCGCGGCCGAGCACATGGAGGCCTGGGACGCCATCCCCACCGCCACCCCCTCCAGCGGGGCCCCCCTGCAAGAGAGAGCGAGCGTTAGGGGGGCCGAAGCCCAGATCCTGGCCACGTGCGCCTGGCGTCGGACAGATTCCAGCCTGGCCCCCCCCAGCCCCCGCACTCACGTGAGCAGCTGGGCGTTGTCATGCGGGAGCCGGGGCAGCAGCTCCTTCTCCCTCCACTGCAGGAAGCGCTCCAGCGTGGCCCGGGCGCTGGGCCCCACGGTGATGGGGTCCCCCTGGTTCCACACTTCCACCGCCAGCAGCGCCACGCGGACGCCCAGGGGCCGATAGAACTGGGGGGGAAGCTGGGGTTAGAGATGCTGGCCGGGCAGTGGGGGCCAGACCCCACTGATGGCACCACTGCCCGCACCAGGACAGTCCACACCGGGAGTCAGGGCTGGGACAGCAGGGGCTGCGGGATGGGAGTGAGGGGGGCGTGGAGCTGCGGGCAGGGAGGGAATGACACAGACCTGGGATAACTGGGGCTGCGGGACGGGAGTGAGGGGCATGGAGCTGGGGGGGAGGGGAACAACACAGAGCTGGGATAACTGGGGCTGTGGGGCAGGAGCGAGGGGCACTGGCAGAGCTAGGGGGAGGCCCAGGCTGGGATAACCAGGGCTGTGGGGCAGGAGCGAGGGGCACTGGCAGAGCTGGGGGGAGGCCCAGGCTGGGATAACCAGGGCTGTGCGGCGGGAGTGAAGGGCACTGGCAGAGCTGGGGGGGGGAGAGGGCATCCCAGGGGCCATTAGGGACCCACCGTGTCCACCTGGTTGGCGATCTCCAGCATCCGGGTCTGGATCCGTTCCATGTTGGGGTAATTCTGGAACTGCAGGGGGGAGAGGAGGTTGTCACGGAGTGTGGGGGAGTCAGGGCCCTGCACCCCTCTCCTGAGAAGATTCACCGTGACTCTCAGCCAGCCAGTAACCCAGAAGGTTTATTAGACGACAGGAACACAGTCCCAAGCAGGGCGCGTAGGTACAACCAGAACCCCTCAATCAAATCCTTCTGGGGAGTTTAGGGAGCTTAGACCCCAGCTTGGGGTTCCCTGCGTTGCACCACCCAGCCCAAGACTGAAAAACAAAACTCCTCCAGCAGCTCTCTCCCCCCTCCCCTCTGCCCCTCCTCTCCTTTGTTCCGTCTCCCTGGGCAGAAGGTGTCACTTCTCCCAACCCCCTCCTGGCTCAGGTAGCTTCCTTCCCATCCCCAGTGTAACTCCCCTGCACCGTGCCCGCTCCCTGCTCCCTCACAGCCCACATCACGTCACATCGGGGGGGAGGAGCCTCCATGGGGCCCAGGAGAGTGAGGCAGATCCCTCCCCCCCCATGGCCAGGAGTCACTCACCTCTGCATGGTCCACCACCATCACCAGCTCCACAAAGGGCTGCTCTGGGGCTGCCTCCCGCTTCCCCTGGGGAGAAGAGCCAGTGAGTGGGGAGCAGGGCACTCAGCGAACACATGGACACGAGCGCCAGGACCGGGGGTCCCATGGGCCAGGGAGGGCAGGCAGCAGTGGCCCCCATCCCAGAGACGAATGAGACGGGGGGGGGGGCTGTGGCCCCAGACACCCCCAATTCCCCTCCCCCACCTACCCTGCGCGGCTCCGGGTCCAGCAGCGGCTGCGTGTGGTTGGGGGGGCCCAGCCCACACTCCCTCTGTCCCAGCCGCACATCCCGGGGCCTGTAGGCCAGGTGCCTCCCACGGGGCCCCTGGGGGTCCGGCTCCAGGCCGTAGCTCCTGTTCTCCGAGGCCACGAGGACGCCGCTAGGAGAGGAGGGGGAGACGGGGCGTTAGCTGGGCGGCAGGGACGGGCAGGGCTCAGGGGCTCAGCCAAACCGCAGCCCCTGCTGGGCTAAGATCACTGGGGCTGCAGGTAGGGACTGAGGGGCACCCAGAACGGCTCCTCTTTAAAACCCATAGGGGTGCCCCCCCCCCGCCTCTCTCCATTGGCCAGGGCACCCCCCCCCGCTGCCCCTCCCCCCCATCATCCCCGATTTCAGCCCCTAGCCTGGAGCTGCAGAGCTCTCCCCCACCTGAGTCCCGAGCAGGCGCAGACGCTGGCCCAGGAGCCTGGATACTCCCGGACATGGCCCCGGTAGCAGCAGTTTCCCTGCAGCAGAGAGAAGCCGAGTTTAGCTGCAGCTCTGAGCAGGGGGCCCAGCCGAGCTCTCGGGGGGCCCAGCTGGGACCTCTCCCCCTGCAGAGCAGCCCTTGTAGGAGCAGGATTTTATAATGTCCCATGAGAATTAATATAGGATTTGATTTCATCCTGTCAGCCCCCCTTTTTGAATAGCAGAAAGGAATGAGACCAGAACAATCCTTATGACTGATTATGGTCACCCTTTTGTTTTAGGAGAAGTTATAATGTCTACTATGGTTTCCGACATGTATTACAAATTAGGCACTCTAGTTAAATATACATTTCTTTGTTTGAAGGTTTTAGTAAGTGTCATGGAGTGTGGGGGGACGCAAGGCCCGGCACCCCCGGCTTCCTGCGATTCACCATGACTCTCAGCCAGTCAGTAAAGCAGAAGGTTTATTTAAACGACAGGAACACAGTCCAAGACACATATTGCAGGCACAGACAACAGGACCCCCTCAGTTAGGTCCATCTTGGGGTCCCAGGGCACCACAGCCCCCTTGGGAGGTCAAAGCCCCATCTGCCTCCCAGCCATTCCACCAGCCAGCTCTGAAACTCTCCCCCCACCCTTTGTTCAGTTTCCCGGGCAAAGGTGTCACCTGGCCTCTAATCCCTTCCTGGGTTCTCATGTTACATGCTCAGGTATCTTCCCTGGGCCAGTCTCCCATCCCCCCATGCAGACCATCCTAGCCACACTTCCCTGCCTTCCCAGCCAACACTCCCCACTCAGCATTCAAAGACCACATTAAGAACAGTCCCAGTTCGTCACAGTAAGTAAGAGACAGGATCTTGTATTGTATTTATGTTAAGAAGATTAGAGGAATGTTGAGGGCCTGAAGCCCCAATGTGAATTGTTTTAGTTATAAGATTTAGCAAGGCTTGATTTACAATGTATTCTGCTGAATATGCAATACTGCTGTCTGGATACCTTTGAAGGTTTCTGTCAGAGATTGTTTGTGTGAATGAGGAATGCCTGCATCAGGAAAAGATGAGGTGTGAAAGCCATCACAAATGTCCAGATGGGCAAGAAAAAGTGAGAGACTTGGAAAGACCAGGAGACAATCAGAAAACATCCATTGTATGCAATGCTAAACATGTTAGCAGCATTGAGGGCCTCAGAGGTGAGGCAGGGACCCCCCAAGGCGAGACAACAAATAGGAGATAACGATGGGAAGCCCGACAAGAACCATCAAATGATAACAGCAGAAAACCCCAAGATTAACACCACTTAAGGACTAATGATTACAGGATGACATTGCAAAATGCATGGACTCCAATGGGAATTTACAACTATCAAGCTGGGGTGTTTTGCCGTGGAACTCTGGGTTCAGCCCTGCAGAGCCTCAGAGCATCGGATCGCGACCGACAGAGCCCAGCTCAAAGAACAGGAGGACTTGTGGCACCTTAGAGACTAACAAATTTATTTGAGCATAAGCTTTTGATGGCTACAGCCCACTTCTTCGGGCTGTAGCCCACGAAAGCTTATGCTCAAATAAATCTGTCAGTCTCTAAGGAGTCACAAGTCCTCCTGTTCTTTTTGCGGATACAGACTAACACGGCTGCTACTCTCGTGCTCAGTCTAACTGGCCATTAGATTGACTCGATCTACAACAGACTGGTAACTATAAACATCACTGGGGGGGGGAGAGAGAGAGAGAGAGAAGCATATGCTAACTGTTGTATTTTCAATAAATGCTGTGTATTTGCCTTCCTCTATAAAAGATCCCGTGTGCTTTGTATGAGCATAACACCTTGGCGAGCAACAAGGGGAGAGGACACTGGTACCAGTACAAATACAACAGTGCCAATGACAGGGCACTGCCCTGGGGAAGCTCGCAGCACCACCACCACCACCCCGAGTCCCGCCTGCCACGGCCAGGGCACTGCCATCAAAGTCACCTGCTGGGTGAAGCAGGAGGGCAGGTGCCCCAGTGGTTTGGTCTAAGGGGGTGGTGAAGCCGCATGGCCTGCCCTGGGGGAGGAGTGGGACCCCTGGGGGTCTGCCACGCTGCAGGGGTCTGCCAGAGACTGATCCCGTGGATCCGTGACACCTGCGTGGCCAGCCACAAACCTACCTGCGAGCCAGCGGCCTGCGTCACCCGCGTGCCGTTGGGCAAGTAATAGAGCAGCGCCCGGGCGCCCGGAGCCACCTCCCTGCCGGAGAGAGACAGACAGTGAGAGGGAGCCCAGGGACGGGCTTCCCCCCCAGCCGCGGGCTGCCAACGCCTCTGGGGTGCCGGGGGCTGCACTGCCCAATGGGCGCACGGCCCCCAGTGCTACAATGGGAGCATCCCCATAGGCCAGAGGGACACGACCTTGCTCCCCAAGAACAGAGACGGAGGGTGTTCCCCCTCCACGGGGCCTGGGGAGGGGCAGGCGGGGCCGGGGGGAGCATGACCCAGCTGGAGCCAATCTGCTGCCAGGCCACTGCCCCTGCACAGCCCCCTGGGCTCCCCTAGAGCAATACATGGGCACCCCGGCCACCCCCCAGCTCCCACCCCCCAGGGTCCCGCCAGGACAACACATGGGCACCCCGGCCACCCCCTGCAGCTCCCCAGCTCCCTGCCCCCCAGGGCCTCCCAGCCCCCCCCGCAGCTCCCCAGCTCCCTGACACCCAGGGCCTCCCAGCCCCCCCGCAGCTCCCCAGCTCCCTGACCCCCAGGGCTCCCTAGAACAACACACGGGTGCCCCGGCCACCCACTGCAGCCCCCCAGCTCCCAGCAGAGCAGGCCCTGTGCAGCTCAGATGCTGCCCCCGCCGCGTGTTCACAGCCAGCTGGCGGGGAGGGGAGGAAGGGGGTACAGGGAACACGCCCAGCCCTCCCCCCCCCCCACCCCCCGGGTTTGCTCTAACCCCAGCACAAGCTGCACCCCCCCCAGGTCCAGGGCCACCTGCAGCCGGGCTGGGAAGCCGTCCTGGGGGAGACCAAGGAGCGGGTTACAGGCCCAGCAGCCAGCGGCCCCCAGCCCGGGAGTCACCCCCATCACCCACCCAGGATGTAACTTAGGGCTGGTCCCCACCAGGGGGCGCCCCGATCCGGCCCCAGGGCAGGGGGTTCCCTGCCCCACCCCCTTACCGGCAGCCGGGGGGGTGGGATGGAGTCTCCAGGACTGGGAGAGGAGTGAAGCCAGACCCTCTGCCCCTGCCCCAGGGCTGAGCCCCCCCGTGCAATAGGCTGGGCGGGGGAATCCTGCTAGGAAATGGCCACATGGTATTTGGGAAGAGGAAGCGTGGGGGGGGCCGGCACCCGCCAATGCCCCCTGGCAGACCATGCCCCGGCTCACCCCGCCCTGGTATCGCAGCTCAGCCCAGCCCGGGACTGGGGTCGCCCAGCTCGGACCCTCCTCAGACAGCATCGCCGACGGGGACCAAGCTGTGCCGGCAGGTGACGGGGGGACGGAGGGAGCGGGGTACGGGGCAGCCCCCACCACTCATGTGGTCTCGGTTAGGCCCTAGAGTGCCGGGGGTCAGGCAGAGGTCAGGATGGAGGTCCCCTCCCAGAGCTCACCAGGAAGCGCCCCTCCCTCATTAGCTCATTGTCCTGGGGGTGGGGTGTCGCAGGAGGTGTCCCGCCCCCCCACACACACACCCTGCGCTTCCTGCCCAGCACGGAGCAAAGAGGAAATGCCACAGAGGATCCCTGGCTGTGGCCGGGCCAGGCCCTTCCGGCGGGGGGGCGGGCGGGAATGAGCTCACACAGCCGGCCTGGCTGGGGGGGGGACGGGGGAGTCCACAGGGACAGCGTCTCCTTCCCTGCCCCTCCCCCAGCGTGGGTCTGAGGGGACCTTCTCCAGGCATCCCCAAGTCCCAGATGCCCCTGAGGAAGCCACTCAAGGCCACGGGGCCTGCTGGGGCCGGGGACTCCCACACAGGGATGGGGGGAGCTGGAATGCAGCAGGTCCCTTCTCCCCCATCCTTGCAGGGCTGGGGGTCTCCCCATGCTCCCGTCCCCCCAGAGGCTGCAGGTATTTGCTCCCTGCCGGGACCCCGGGGACCGGGCAGGCGCTGGGAACCCGGAGGCCAGAGCCGGGACAGGGGCTGGGAAAGGGAGCCGGGGAATCCAGTGGGGGTGGGGGGAGCGATGTGAGAGTAGCACACATGGGGCTGGGAGGGAAGCGCTAGGGCTCCCCGCGTGCCCCCCCAAAGCAGGGGGCCAGGCTGTGTGGGGACTGCCCCCTCCCTACCTGCTGGATTGGGTCCCGCCCAGCCCAGGGAGAGGCCCCCGCTGAGGGATGAGCCAGGGGGGCGCATCAGTTGGGGGGAGCAGGGGTGCCAGGGAACGCAGCCAGTGGCTGCTGGGGGGGAGGGCAGAGTCCTTACCAGCTCTGTCTCGGCCATGCTGAGTGTCTGGTTGCCCTGCAGGATCCGGGGCGTCACGTGCCAATAATGTCCCAGGTCCTCACGCTGCCGCCTGGAGCTGCCGCCTGCACGGGGCCGAGAACAAAGCCATCACCCCGGGGGGCCCCTGTTCACCCAGGCCTCACCCCACACAGCACGGATCCATGCGCTCCTAGAGCACGGCACCCCTCCCCCAGACAGGCACATGGGGCTCCAGGCCGGGCAGGTGCACAGAGCGTGCCCTGGGATCCAGACCCCTGCCCTATTCCACATCTGACTCTGTGCCCCGGGAAGAATCAGGGGCAGGCTGGGAGCCAGGACTCCTGGGTCCCATTCCCAGCTCTAAGCCTGGCACCGTGTGTGGCCTGGCGAGTGTCTCTGGCTCTCCACCCCCACACCGCAGGTGGGGCACGTGCCCCCTCTCGGCAAGCGCTCAGAGCAGGGCCCACACCCTGTTCCCGCCGTTCACTTGCGCGTGTCCCCTGCCCCGCGGAGAGACGGCGGCGCTTTCGGGATACGTAGGCCATGTCTACACATGGAATCAGGGTGACTTGGGGGGCTCCCAGCATGGGGCTGTCTCCTGCCTGAACTGAGCAGGCGGCGCTGAGAGACCCATGTGTGCATCGGGGAAGAACTGCCAAGGGTCCCACTCTGAGACGGCCTGGCCAAGGCCCGGCAGGCACGGGCAGCCCCCAGCCCCACAGGGCTCCAGCCGCTGGGGCCGCACAGAGAAGGCCCTTCACCCACGGCAGGGCCCATCCCTCCAAAGCTGCACCTGAAGCCAGGCGACCCGGCGGGATCAGGGCGGGGCAATCAGCCGCCCCCGTCCTTCCTCCCAGCCCCTGGCCACACGCCAAGCCCCCAGGTGGAGCTGGAGGAGCCGGTCGGGGTAAGATGCCAGCACAGACCTTCCCGCCCTGGAGACACCCCCCCCCCGATCATTGTAATGCTGGGTCTCCCCGGGGGGGCTAGGTAACCCCAGCTCCCTCTGTCCGCCCCCCCCCAACAGGAGTTCAGGCTTCACAGTCCATTCGGCTCTGCTGAGATACCAGACGGGGGCTGGGCAGCAGATAGCACCGGGGGGGGGGGTGAGACATTCATCCCCTGGGCCCTGGGGCCAGCCTAGACACCTGCACCCCAGGCACGGCCAAGGATTGGGGGGATGTCAGGTGAAGAGCTCAACCCCCTCACCCATCTCCTCCCCAGCCACTCTGCATCCGCTCCCACCCCCAGGGCCTGTGATGGCAAAGCTTACCCTGGGAAGGGGGCTCAGACCGCCCCCCCCCATATTCTGACCACCTCTTCCACCCCCACTGGTGCAGGGACACCATGGCCCTGCCTTCCCAGCCCCCTGGCTGCCTCCATGACCTGCAGCCCCCTGGCTCCATACGGCTCTCCCTACGGCTCGTAGATGCAGCCCGCCCCCACCCCAGCAATGCCAGGCCCTGTGCCAATGCAGCCTGCCCCCCAACCGATTGTCTCAGGCTCTCTGCAAACACAGGCAGAGTCAGTTGCGTGATGGGGGGGAGCTGTCTTGAGTACAACTGACACAGCGAAACCTGCCTGAGTCTGCAGAGAGCCTGAGCCAATTGCCCCAAGAGGGAAGCTGCTCTCTGCCTCTCACTGGGGCATTAGCTCCAAGCCCCACTGCTCTGGGGCCCCCCCCACCCTCACCCAGAGGGGTGCTCTGGGCACAGCAGGCAAGGAAAAGCAAAGTGGGCCCAGCTCCCCCACCCGTGTCAGACAGGAACCCCCGGCCTCCCACGTCATCCTCATGGCACCTGGCCCCACAGCTCAGCCAGCCCCGACGGGCACCTGCGCAGCCGGGGGGGGCTGGGCCCAAAGTCTCCAGGAGTCACATCAGCACCGGTTCGCACCTGTCGCGGCCTCTCCCTGCAGG